TCTGAGTCGTACCAGGCCGTGCCAGGCCCTGGGGGGTATGGAGAGGTGGCAGGACTGATGACTCTTCTGGGCTGGTGTAGATGCATACTTCCAGTGCAGAGGCATTGAAGGTGAAGGGAAAAGGCAGTTCCACTGCTATACAGGGGATTCACGTGACACTTGTGAAGGCACAGAAAGTCTGGAGGCCCTACTGAAGCCAGTCCAAGTATTAAATAAAACCCCTGAAGTACGCCGGTGAAGGGTAAAGTGAAGGGTGAAGCAAGACCGTATGCCCCAACTTCAGGCACACACAGAAAATCACGTTTTGGTCCCACCTCTCAACTGTGTATTTGAAGTTGGGGCGTATGGTGTTGAACTGCTTCAGCCTTCACCTGAGTGCTTGTAGGGCTTACGTAAGACGTTGACTCAAGGAGTGGCCTCAAAACTTGCTGTGATTTATGGGGAAATCCGGTTGTAAGACTTTTACAAAGTCAGTAATATACTGTGGTAGAGTATGCAGCTGCCAGTACCTTGGGCAAGGGTTTACGTCGCCTCACAGCTCCAGTGGATTTTCTGCTTGGTGTATATCAGGTTGTGATTTTGTGTGTGTACCGTATTGTTATGATCGCCGTTTGATAAGTCCTTTCTGGCCTCAAGAGTCATTGTTACCCACCTAGAAAGATTGCAGATGGCCAAAGCAGTTATTTAAGTTAAGAAGGGACAAGTCTTAAACAGAATTTTGCATAATATTTGACTGTAAAGGGGTAAATTGAGGTAGATTGAAAAACAAAATGGTGAACCGGGCAGGCGGTACTCACAATTAGGCGAGTACACTCGGGAACTTTTAAAGTGCAACCAAACATGCTTTAGGCTCTCACAACAAGAGGTGAGTGGTGGTGGCTCAGGTGCTCAGCCAATCAGAGCACCTAAGGAGGGAGGGCAGGAGTGAGAAGGGGGTGGTATGTGGAAGTTTGGTGACAGTTGTGTGTAGTTTATTCATCCTCATTGTAAGTTTCATGGCTTGGTGTGCATTTCCCTAGTAAATTTAATTAGGGAAAAATTCAGGTGTTTGATTTTTTAAATCAACTTTTTAAATGTTGAGTTGTTGGTTTGGGAGTATGGCATCCTCATGCTGTTGCGTGCTCGCGTGAGGTAACAATGGTGATGTAAAGTTGTGGGGTGTACATGCTTGGGACGTCCTCTCTCGGGATGGCTGGTGTTAGACCTGTGTGTTTGTCGGTTGTTGAAAAGCCGTCATCCTTTGCTGTTGTGGTATTGATTTTACATTGTTCATCTTGTAATTAATACTGTAGTGCGATATCTAGGGCTACCATTTGTAGGTTTAAAATGTCTAATACAAACAGTTGTCCAATGAGTTTTAATAGGAAATATCATCCACCAAGCACCATTGTACAATTATATTAATTGATAGTATATGGATTGTGCAGAACTGCTTAGAATGATCTTTAACACTTGGCTATATTGGTCATGTCAAATACCTGCACGGTGAATGCTCAAAGACCCTTTCTTTATTCACTGTTGTCACATACCTCATGGGGGTATGGATAGGCAAACACTCATTCGGTTAAACTTGCCTTGTAGTACTTTCAGAGCTCAGTAATTTGGAATCTGGTTAGCACTTTCCAAATAAATTGAGCTTTAAAGTGATTTCCTATTTAGGTTTAAAACATTATACCGAATGAGAAACTCAGATTATATAGCCGAACACCAGAAATGTTGTTATTCAATTTGGTTGCCTAAAGCACATTCAAGGACTACACATTACATGGCATTCCAGGATTCCTCTATACCTTGCCTTATGCTGTAAACATTGCCACAACCCTGTGTTTTATTGATTTAAATGGCCACAGGGAGGCATACAACACTGCAGATTATGATGTCATTAGTTATCCACTGTGCTGACAAGTGGGCTGACTGATGTTCGTTGACACCTGTATCGTGCTTCAATTTAATCGCCAGGAGATCACCCTCTCACTAGACTCGTCGTAGGAAGTACAGTATAGTATCTCAAATTACCTTGGATCATAAATAGCATAAGACTTGGGGGTAGAAGAGGCTTGCAGTGTTTGTCATGGCTCTCAGTTGTTCCTGGTATTAGGCAATTTAGTTCTGGAATCATTTTTGTTGGCCAATGTTAAACTTTTTTGAAAGTAGATGTTTTTCTGAAAGGGAAGGGGGGGGGGGAACCTCTATGCTTGGATACAGTTATCTAAGTGAATACTTAGATTTATACAGTAGAATAACTACCTTCTTTTCCTTAGTCAAAAAGGTTGCTTGTTTATTTCTAGGGACTTGTATTTTCTTTTATTTTTAACTGCAGCAACTTTCAGTGAATGATAGATTCTTACTGAAAGGACCTTTACTTCATTGTTGTTGCTTTATGGTCATCTCATTGTGTACAGGGATTCCGCGAAGCTTTTGGGGTTAGTCTTTGACACTCGTTTGTCTTGGTCAGCCCATATCTCTTGCCTCCGAGTTGAATGCTCTAAGGCCCTTAACCTCCTTAAGGTTTTGTCCCATACTTCTTGGGGAGCGGATAGGCGCACGCTCCTCTATTTGCACTCCTCTCTCGTCCTGTCTAAACTCGATTATGGTTGCCCTGCATACTCTTCTGCTTCTCCTTCTACTCTTCGCCGTCTTGATGCTTTGCACCATACTGGGTTGCGTCTCGGCTCTGGTGCCTTTCGTTCGACTCCCGCCCTTAGTTTGTATGTTGACACTGGCTTTCTCTCTCTTCAGGACTGCCGTGATCGCTACCGTCTTCGCTATCTTGCGCGGTCCTTCCAACATCCTTCCTCTCGCCTCTGTCGTGCATTGACTTTTCCTCCTCCTGTGGTTCCTGTTCCTCTTCATTGTCTCCCACTTTCTGTCCAGTTATCTCGCTTACAGGATTCTCTTTCTGTTCATATTTCTAATGTTTCTCCTCGTATTGTTCCTTCATTACCTCCGTGGAGAGTCCCCCTTCCCAAGTTTTGTACGTCCTTGACTTGTATTACTAAAGCCTTTACCCCTCCTACAATTCTGAAAAGCCTCTTCCTTGAGCACTTTTCTTCGCACTCCCACTCTATTTCCATCTTCCCTGATGGGTCTAAGTCTGCGGATGGTGTGGGCTACTCTGTTGTTTTTCCTGACCGTACTTACATGTGTCGCCTACCTTCGGAGGCTAGCGTCTTTACGGCAGAACTTTATGCTATTCTCTATGCTCTTTGTCTCTTGCTTTCTCATTCTCATTCCTCCTTTGTGGTTGTAGTTGATTCTCGTAGTGCCCTCATGGCTCTAGGGTCCTTTAATCCTGTCCATCCGGTGGTCATTGAGATTCAACATTGGCTGTTTCTTATTTCTAGTAAATTTAAATCAGTAGAGTTTTGCTGGGTTCCCAGCCATATTGGTGTTTCAATGAGCGTGCGGATGCTGCCGCTAAGGAAGCTATCCGTTCTTGTCCCATCTCCCGTAAAGGTATTCCTTATTCCGACTTTTATCCTGTTATTCATTCTTCCCCGTTGGCAGGGTTGTTGGTCATCTGTGGTTGGTAACAAGCTGCGTACTCTCAAACTTAGTGTCCCTTTGTGCCCTTCCTCCTACCACCGTAACCGGCGGTGGGACACTGCTTTGGCACGGCTGTGGGTTGGTCATACCCGCTTAACCCACGGTCACTTAAGGGAGCGCCGCCCTGCTCCTTATTGTCCGAATTGCGTTGTCCCTCTTACAGTTGTGCATATCCTTGTTGAATGTCCTGACTTCCAGGACGAGCGTGTGTCTTGCTTTCCGACCGTCCCTCACAGTCACTTGTCCCTCGATAGAATTCTAGGTGAATCGGATACTTTTGATATCGTTCGCCTTATGCGTTTTTGTTCTCGTAATGGCATTCTTGGTGATATTTAGCGCCCTCTGATTATTTCGCACTTTGATGGTGCTACATGGCCTTCCCTGTTTGGTGCCTTCTTTTGGTAATTACCTTACCTTCATTGTTGTTTAATTTTAATGTGGTAGTTGTGATATGGATTGTTCTGGCTCACGTGCAAGGTCTTGGATTTTTGTGTTTTATATTAAGAAATTGCCAGTCTTGTTACTATTTGTAGAGTTAGATCTGCATTATGGCCTCAATATTATAATCTTTATTTTTTTTTAACATGTTATCAGCAATTTTTTTGGTTGGTAATATTTAGATTAATGTCAGTGATGTATATGACCAGGGTTAAGACCCCTTGTGGTATGACAGCATTTTTCCCCAGTCATTTCTTTAACAATTGAAAGGGTCCTCATGTCCTTTCTACCATGTACCTGTTTGTTGCTTCTTGGTCTTTCATTTGGTACTTTGGCTATTAAAACAATGGCCTTTGTTAATGTTGCAATTAGCATTTCTAAAAAAAATGAGCAGGTTCATTAGGCAGGGTTTGTTTTTAGCAAACAAAGTTTAAAAAGAAATATTCCATTCTTTCAGGACCTTGTAGATGTTAGGTCAAACTAATTGACAGTAATCTGTTTTGCCCTTTCAAACTTCGATGGTTTTAATCTAGGTAAAATATTTCAGAATATTTGGCAAGTTTGGCAGACAAATCATTTAAGAGCTTTGATTAAATTTAAGTTAAAGACTTTGTGAAAACCATGTTGTATAGATGCTTCAGTGTCACTTGTCAAATGTTTTGTAAATTTAACAATGATCTTTAGTTAATTTAATCATAATTTGTACAAAGCTTAGGTGTTGCATAGCTTTAAATTTACTTTCAAATATGAAAACTAAAATATTGACTAAAGTTTCTTCCACTTTAATATTTCAGACTAATTTGCAATATTTGTTAGTTTATGTAAATTGAATAGGTAGTCCACTTTTACATCTTTTCAATGCATTTTGCATGCACCTATGTAACAAGTTACAAATAGGTGTAAATTTTACCAAGTATTTATTTTCAAAGTAAAAAAATTTCAGATGTTTAAACATTGCATCAATAGTAGTAAACAATAACTTCCAGCATAGTTTCAGGATAAGGTATATACAGTAGTTTCATTAAAATTGTTTTATTTAATAAGTTTGACATATAGTATTTATAATACATCTAATATTTATCAATGTTTCAGGTTGTGAGACAGATGCTCCTAGATGAACAGAAGATCCAAAAGGCCAAGACAACTCCAGAGGCAATCACCTGTAAAAGAAAAATAAACATTAAACAGGGACACTACTTTTATTATCACCAATGCCTAATAATAAGCCCAAAAAATCCTAACAGCCTATCTTTTAAAATAGGCTCAGCAAGGCCTATCCCTTCCTCTGATTTTGGTTCAGAGCTTGTTCCCCAAATGACTGGAAAACCTCCAACAGTTTAGTGCCAGCCATGTGATGTACAGATGCTTCATGCAAAGATCACATTGCCAGCACTAATCTGTTGGATGCATCCACTCATTTGGCAAACAAGCCCTGTGTGTAAATTAACAATGTAACCATTGTTAACAGTCCCTAAACCTATGCACATCTAGTCCATCCAATAGACAGGTACTAGAGCAGAGCTCTGAAAAAGCCAGAGACAGGAAAATCTGCAGGACTGCCTGGTCCCCTTCTATGAAATGGGGTAGGATCAGTAAACTGCATCAATCCCTGTAGGTTGTAACAGTAGGACATGGGTGACACATCTATAAATGGACTAGATAAAAGAACATTACATTAATTGATATAGCTAAAAGAATTTCAATTCAGCTCACCACTTCATAAGTCCTTTACAGTAGAACAGTCACTGGATTTGATACCATTCTAATCTGCATTGGCACCTGAAAAATATTTAGCCAAATTAAATTAAGGTTTTCTTTAGTACTTACAATTTCAAATCAGTTTAAAATAAATAACCTTAAATAAATATGACTTGCATTAGCCCACAACTAAAGACTGCCATGCCACTGTTCAATTACATTAATGTCTACATGAAAGATTCATTTCAGACTAGCTTTAACCACAATGCTATACATTATCAATTACTTTACATTTCATTTAATAAAACTTTAAATTATACATTTACCACTCACCTGATTCTGTAATATATGCAGGTAACCCACTCCAATTGCAAGACAAAGTTCCAGACTTTTCAATCCATATTCTGGAAGATAGTAAACTTTTAAATATACTGCATTTACATTTAAATACATGTAGTAGTTACCAGTCAATATTTTTACTTTAACAAAAAAATCATACCATTATATACTAAACTTTCCCCATTATTGACATTCATATTATGAAATTTGCCCTCAAGTTTTTTTTTAATAAATGAACTAATTAACATTCAAGTTTTTTTTTCAACAATTAACCATAAACTTTTTTTATGCAGTTTCAAAGCAAATGCCCACATTACTTTATTTAAAGTTAAATTCCTCCAAACTAAACTTTTAACAGCTCCCACTAGCCTTGCCCTACAATTTTTTTTCTATTTTTACACCCAAACAATTTTTACCTAAATGGGTTGAAATTTACATACAAAATATTCAGTACCCATAAACTAATTTTGACAAACATGATACTTACTGTGCATCACTTATGATTAAGTTTCTTTTAACCACTCATTCTCATACATTGCAGGGACCTTCCACAACCTGTCATGGAAACAGCCTTGTTAATTCAGTTTACATAAACAGGATGTTACACAATTCCTTAAGTTACCATTTTAAACCACTTGTAAATTTTAGTTACCCTGTATTTATTGAGAAATCCATTGCCATTTGATTACATTTTACATTTATATTAAATATTTTCCTTAAATAAAACTTATTTACCCACAGGACACCCCACAATACTATATATACCATTACATACTCAAGATTTTATTCTTTGCAAGTCTTAATGCAAGCAAACTAAACTTTGGCCAACAACTTTGTAGTTTATTAATAAAAATACAACAATTAATATTAAAAAATTATTAAATTTACATTAGATTTTTATTCAAACCTACTTTACACACCTAACACCGTTTAATCCTCGATTCACTGTCACCAGCCCGTCTCCAAAATGAAGACCAAAAATGATTCCATATACAGAGCCAGTCGGACAGCACACTGGACTTTTAATCCTGTGGTCCTGGGTTCAATCCCAGGCGCCGCCGAGAAACAATGGGCAGAGTTTCTTTCACCCTATGCCCCTGTTACCTAGCAGTAAAATAGGTACCTGGGTGTTAGTCAGCTGTCACAGGCTGCTTCCTGGGGGTGGAGGCCTGGTTGAGGACCGGGCCGCGGGGACACTAGAAAAAAGCCCCAAAATCAAGATAACTTGCCAAACGGCCCATTTATGAATGAAAAAGCTGTACACGATTCAACTTGTGACATAGTAACATTTCCGAAACAAGTGCTTTACAGACTTTCCAACCACAATGCTCTAAATGTCACCGTTGTACTAATACAAATATTTGCCAACAACCTGAACACTTAACTAAAGCCTATATGAGCACAATGAAATTATATTTTTAATAAACAGGATGTGACAAGTTATGATTGCGTCTGTGGGGTCGACCGCTGAAGGTAATGACATTCAGTAGAGGACGGCTTTGTCACAGTACGCCATTTTTATTCTTTAAACTATAGCACCAACTTTTGCCAATATCCTACATGCTATACACTAATTTTGCCCCCCAGGAACACACCCGCCAAGTCTTAAACTAGGTACCCATTCACTGCTCATAATTATACAATTAAGGATTGACACTCACCTTTTTAACCATGCCTCCAAAGTCTTGGTAAAATTATGAAATATTCCGGTTACCAATATACAACACTGAGGACCTCAGCATCTGACGCACACTGTTGGTGATCATTCATACGAATATCCTTTATACATGACCGTAGACAACAACCTGCAAATACAGTAACACTTTAGCAATATAACGCTGTTAACTACAACCTTTCGCCCCGATATCTGTCACCGACTATCTGTCTGATCTTGCCCCCTACAAGGTACAGTTCCAAACTTCTGTTTTAAATTTCCAATCATTGATAATTCACTAGAACAGACAGGAAACTTACGAAAGTAAACCAACCCATACCAGACGATGTCACTCTTCCACATCTACAGTAACAACCTAATGCAGCTATCATTACTGTATACAAATCTGAAGTGAAGCTGCAGAATTTCCACTAGTCACTCCAGGCCAACTTCCCACAAACCCTAGCCACTGGTACTAATAAACTATTCCCAGCTGTATACAGCCTTCTACCAACCCAGAGCAGGTACCCAATTACTGTTGGGTAAATAGAGTCGAACAGTTAAAGATTGGCGCCTAGTCAATCGTTCCTGGGGCTTTGCATATTAATGGCTTTATTTAATATGCAACATCTATAAATACATATAAAGTAATGTAATATGGTAATATGTATATTTTATGAACACAATTATTAATATTGTTATTATTATTTACGGTACTTTGTGTGCGAAGCATTAAGATACGATGGGAATGAGGTGAAGGTGTTCTGGTGCCAGCTGGTCCATGTAAACAAACAGACGTCGCCTCGCACTACCGCTGACATGCAGAAGTATGAGAAGCTGGAGAAGATTGGCGAAGGTATTAGATTAGATTAGATTAGATTTTTTATTCAGGTAAAGGTACATACATTGAGTTACATACATAATGTTGGATTTAAAGATAGAGATAGTACATACAATACCTAAAGCCACTAGTACGCATAGCGTTTCGGGCAATTATTACTTTGCTATGCTTTTAAATTATTAATCTGGGATCCTTTATTAGGCCATAATTCAGTATATAAGGTGAAGTTTTTCCGCTGGCCTGGGACCATTCTTTAGTTATGACTAAATTTCGCAAGTTGTTTCCACCAGGGCCGTCTTATCAGGATTATGGTCCCTTGGGCAAACCAGTGTGCTGTGGCCCAGGGCCGTCTCGACAGCATTATGGGGCCCCTGGGCAAACCAGTGTGCTATGACAACCACTCACACTTCAACAAAACTGGTATTAAAACATTATAAACATGCTGTAGAGCAGCAACTAATAAACATGATAAACATTTGAACAATACACAAGGCTTGAAAAACGCAATACTGCTACACAGATTAGATGACACAGTATGAAATTACTACAAACTTATTATAACAAGCATTTGTGGCATTTCATTTCATAAAATTGCTTTGTTATTGGCTTGAAGTTAATAGTCTAGGATGTCATTTTCCATGCACATGAGTGAAAGCCAGTTCAAATGATGCTGACCCATTGTGCTATGAAGCAGATTTTTTTTATAAGTTTTTCATGCAGATCGGCGTTCAATCCTCGACCGTCCACAAGTGGTTGGGCAACATTCCTTCCGCACGTCCCATCTTCTTCCCTCACTCTTGTGGCCTGCTTTGTGTTGACACAAGAATGCCTCCAGAATGAGGTTCACAAATCTGCATGTCCTAAAGTCCTCCGTTGTTGCTTCATAGGCCTCCCAGTCTATTGCTTTAAAGTTGAAGTCCACCAGTATCAACAGTCGTGATTTATCTTTATCTGCTTGTACAATAATATCTCTCATGACCATTATGAGGCCCTCTCGTTTGTCATCCAGTTCTTCCTTTGTCCATGTGTTGCTTGCTGGTGGGCTGTAGGCATTTAAAATTATCAGCTTATCATCCTAATTCCAGACCTGCAATGCCATTATGTCAATATCTTGAGGGTTTTCAAATATTAACTCTCTTACCTTCAGGTGTTCTTTCACCAGCACAGCCACTCCTCCTCTCCTTCCTCATTTTCCTGTCATGTCTCCAAACTGAATAGCCCCTTGGGAATATGACTTCATTTAATATATTTCCTTCAAGTTTCGTCTCTGATAATGTGACAATATCTGGGACCCTAAGCTGAATTATATCTTGCAACTCCAAAGTTTTTGACCTCACTCCATCTATGTTGGTGTATACAATTTTCAGGAACATGTTCCATTTCCCTTTGTTCTTTACTCCCCCTTCCACAACTGATTTTGTTGCTTTGTTTTTATGTACCATTTCACAAGCTTTCCAGTCCCTGACACTTTGTAGAAAAAAGATTTTGTCTTCGCATTACATTTGACTTTAAATAAATGGTCTGGATTAATATCCTAGTGTGTAATTTTTCAGGTACATACGGTACTGTGTTCAAGGCCAAGAACAGAGAAACGCAAGAAATTGTTGCTCTCAAGAGGGTTCGTTTAGACGATGATGATGAAGTTAGTATGAGTAACCCAGTTATTGCAAGAGTTTTGTTTATCACCATGCTGCGGAAGCTAATTGAGAAGTTGACCCAGTTACATCTAAATTAAGGTTTTAAATTTTTGTTTACAATATAGTTAAGGATTAAAAAAGGGTCTTGTGCTTTATCCCAACATTTTCATTTATTTTTTCTGTTAAGTGGGGAAAAATTTTAGAAAATTTATATACCACATATTTTGGCATAAAGTCAATCTGGCACATAGGTCGGCCCAAAAAATTTAGGGGTGTAATTCAGGTTTAGGCCTATATTTGCCACACAAGACAAGCCCCCCCTAAAAAATATGAATATTTTCTGCATAAGGCATCATATGGTGTCAATGGTTGTCATGTAAAGGAAGGTGGTGGAAGTGGTGAGGTGAGCAGGTGGTGTCAGTTGTGAGGGTTGATGTAAGGGAGGCAGGTGGTATTAGTGGTTGTCATGGAAAGGAAGGAGGTGTTAGTGGTGAGGCGAGCAGGTGGTGTCACTTGTGAGGGTTGGTGTAGGGGAGGCAGGTGGTGCCAGAGGTAAGTGAGGATAAGTGTCCAGCACAGGGTTAGTCTGGCCTAGTGTTTACTAGGTTTACTAAAGTGGTTTACTATTTTATTTGTTTAATTATTTGATGTATGTATATATATGTAACTATTGATATGAAACAAACAAATAATCTATTCCATGATAGTGAATTGAGCCTGCAGTGAGGCTAGCATGGGTAGGCAGTGAATAGGTCGGAAGTTTGTCAGATGTTTCCTAGCTTTGAGTCAATTGAGAGATTTATTTTCAATTATTGCATTATCAGCACTGTAATTTGCCTGTTTTATTAACAAGATGTCATACTAGAGCAATCATATTGCTGAAGATTATGGTATATTTTAGATACAGTAGTTGGAATACATTACCATTTGATACAAATTTGACGACACAAGGTGTAGCCCTTCTGGCATGACCAAGCAACTATCAGCTGAATGGCATTGTACACAAAACAGTGTGTTGTGGAGGAGTTAGAGGGCAGAATGTGCCTCCCCTGCCCTGCCCTGCCCTGCCCTGCCCTGCCCTGCCCTGCCCTGCCCTGCCCTGCCCTGCCCTGCCCTGCCCTGCCCTGCCCTGCCCTGCCCTGCCCTGCCCTGCCCTGCCCATCCCTGCCCTGTCTGCCTCACTCCATATGCTCCCACCCACCCTTCCTGTCAGCCCTCCCACTCACCAAGCCCACCTACCTACCTCCCTGTCTGGCTCCCTCCTTCCCTCCCTGCTTGCCTGCTTCCTTCTCTCCCTACCTGCCTGGATACCTCCTTCCTTGCCTGCATGCTTGGCTACCTCCTTCCTTCCTTCCCTGCATGCCTGGCTACCTCCTTCCTTCCTTCCCTGCATGCCTGCCTTCCTCCGTCCTTTCTTCCTTCCCTGCCTGCCTTCCTCCGTCCTTTCTTCCTTCCCTGCCTGCCTTCCTCCGTCCTTTCTTCCTTCCCTGCCTGCCTTCCTCCGTCCTTTCTTCCTTCCCTGCCTGCCTCCCTCCCTCCCTCCCCTCCCTCCTTCCCTGCCTGCCTGCTTGCCTACCACCTTTGTTCCATCTCTACCTGCCTCCCTCCCTCCCTTCTCGTTTATCTCTTGTTTATCTCTCACCTTATATTTGGCGGATAAGTAGATTCCATGGTTTTGGAGAGATTTTTAGGCTCCAAATGTTGACTTATTTGCCGACAGATATTGCCTGCTGTATACTGTATATCATGAACTGCTCAATATTTGGATATTACTGTAATTAAATAATATTATGAATGTTAAAAAGATTAACAGATCAGTAAAATTACTGAATTTAAAATCGTCTAACAAAATTATTTTGCCTACAAATATTTCTTGTATTTAGAGAGTAGTATATGCAGACTCGGTTGATTTTGTTTCTTTAAGAATATGTCACCATCCATGATTGTACTTCAGCATAGTATCCTTACAAGGTTTGCTTTTTAATTGTCACCTTTTTAATTGTAGGGTGTGCCTTCATCTGCTCTCCGTGAGATCTGTCTACTGAAGGAGCTGAAACATAAAAACATTGTGCGGCTGCATGACGTGCTACACTCTGATAAGAAGCTTACATTGGTGTTTGAGCACTGTGATCAAGATCTAAAAAAATACTTTGATAGTCTCAATGGCGAGATTGATCCTGACATTGTAAAGTCTTTCCTGTAAGTGTTGCAATGTGAATATATTCTGTATGGGAAAGAGTAGTGGGAAAGTTCATGGGAACAACCCTGTCTATGGAATTACTGAACTGTAGTTAGTATCCCTGGAAAAATATATGCAAGGGTGAAAATGGGTATTTAAGGTTAATAACTGAATGTACAATAGGGCAGCAACAGGGTTAGTTATGAAGGAGAAACACTGTAAAGATCCAATTTCTACTGTATTACCTGTGTTAGTTACAGGATGAAAGCTACGGTCATGGTATCCCATTTTCCAATACCGTACTATCATATGATGCTTTGAAACTACTGGTGGTTTAGGCCTCCACCACCTTCTCACTTGCCTTGTTCCAACTGTCTACCAATCTGTTTACAAAAATAAACTTTCTAATGTTTTCTGGGGGGGAGCCCCATTGGCTCCCCAGAGCTATCCAGGCTGAATGGATATGTATATCTTTCTGGCATCAGTCAATACATGGAGTTCTTGCCTACCGGGAACCATGAACCAGAACCTGGTCCCCCTCTAGAGAGGCACGAGGAGCAATGGCCTATAGAGACCCCCTGGGGTTGGGAGCATTCTATGTCTGCCATCGACTGGGACAGGCACCCAGAAAGGTAGGTCCCCCAAAACAAACCCCTATTCTGGTAAAACTATTGCAACCGAAGGCTGAACAAGTGGACAGAACTCCCCAAACGAAAATTAGCAAACTAGCATGACATCATGATGTCGCCGCACCGCTGTCTGCGCAACCCCCTCCCCTCTCCCTGGGAGGGATAAGGGGGAGCCCCAGACCCACCCGTCGGCGACCCACCCTACAGTTCTTGGCTGATGGGAGTCTGGTGCGGTCGTGCCTCTGGCTCCAGTTTTTGTTTCAGTTCTGTGCCTTGTGGTGTGGGCTAGCTCTTCAGGGGGTGCATGAGTCAGGAGATGTATTCCACGGTACTCGGGCTGTGTGTGCCTAGGGTCTCCTTCCCTAGCTGCCCTGTAAGTATTGTCCTTGGGGCTTGTGACTACCTTCCACAAGTCACCTCAGGATCTACCTCCGCTGTGCCGTTTACTGCTCGGTATTTGGCCGCCCTTGGGCTCAGCTGGGGTTTTTCTTACCCTTGTTTGTCTCTGGGTAGGGAGTAGCTTTCGTCACTGGCAGGGGTGCAGGGTACTGCACAGCTAGTTTTCACCTATAACAGTGGCCTGCTCTGTTCTGCCTGGGTACGTTGTCTTCTTGCGGGGGTTTTCTTTTGTTTTTGTTTTCTGCTTGGTGGAGGAGTCTGCCTTTGTGGTCCCCCCAATCGCTGTTCTTGGGGGGACTTGGGTTCTATATTTATCTATATATCTATATTTCTGTGTTTGGTGGTCCTCCCCGCTTGGCCCCCATGAGTGGACATGTCCCGGGATTCAGCTTTAGAAGTTTGTTTGGTAGACTTGGACGCTGGTTCGCCGTACCCTGCCTGGGCTTTCCTTAGCATGTAACCAAGACTAAGGGCCCTGGGAAACCCCACAGGGGCTATGTGGTTCAATGGATGTAACCAGAAGTCCCCCATTGTGTCCTGCAAGTTTGCAGGTTGCTGTCCCCTTGTCTCAGGATGACACTCACCAGTTTTGCCTCCGCCATGCTGCCTGTTGGGTCGATGATTGTTTTGACCCAGAGTCGTGCGATGTGTGTTGTCTGTACGTGTTCCAGTTCACCCAAGCCACTGATAATGATATGTGGGTGCAGGCAGCTACGCCGTTGAAAACTAGATTTAGGTTGCTGCAACGCCCTAGGTTGGTTGTGGCCCCTGATGCCCTGAGATTGCCCCGTTTTGCTTATAGGGACCCAGACTTGGGGGTGGAAGTCGCTTTGGCTCTGGTTCTGTCCGCCCCTGCTGGTCCTTCCCCATCTATTGTTCATCCAGTCCCCCTCCCCCCCCCCCCTTGCTTCCGGCTCTGAAGCGTCTGAGGGTTTCGGAGTCGGGGCGTCTAGTTGGCATTGAGACTCGGGCGTTTTCGGGGTGTTTCCTTCTGGGGTTAAGAACATAAGAACAAAGGTAACTGCAGAAGGCCTATTGGCCCATACGAGGCAGCTCCGCCTCGTTGCGGTGGAGGAATTCGAGCCTGGTCCCTGGTTCTTCAGGTGGATCTTTTGGGTCTAGCCAGTGGGTCCCCTTCATTCCTGCTTTTTCAGCGGCTCCCGCTTTTTCCTTAGAAGCAGGGGTTTGGAGGCCGGCTCGGCCTCGAGTCCTCAGGGAGAAGTTCCTGGGGCTGGGGAGGGGTTGACTTGGGGGCCCTTGGGCCCTGTTGGACCCCGCCTGGGTTTTTCTGCCTTCAGAGCGGGGCTTAGTGTTACAAGGAGAAGGGGCTCTCTTTCGCTCCCTCCGTGTACGAATTGGATTTGGTGTCTACCCCTCCCTGGGTTCGGTTCCGGGATCCTGTGGGTTCCTCGGTTCCGGCTTTTCGGAGGTTTTTGGCTTCCCGCATTTTGCCTTCTGAGATGCAGGAAGCCCTTGCGGCTTACCTGCTGTGTGACCTGGATTATGCTTTCATGAGGGAGCCGCGTTCCTTCATGTACAGTTCGTACTGTCCGTACTGGGTTCGTTATGAAGTTCCGGAGTCGTCCTGGTTGGCAGACTGTCCCCTTTTTTCGTTGGAGGCTTGGCACATGTTCTGTCAGTCCCATGCGTTTGACTGACAGGGGACTCGGACAGCATTTCAGGTTTTCTTGGGGGGGGGGGGGTGACTTTGAGCAACTCAATGCTTGTTTGTTTGCCCCTGCCCTTCCGCGGGATGTTGTTGTGCAGCTTCATGTGCAGCTTCTTTCCCTTTCGGCTGCCTTGGTTGCAGAAAATTTGTGTACTCATGGCCTGCTTGCTTTGGCCTTGCGTTTCTTTTCCCTGCTTGAGCTGTCCTCGGAGTGGCTTTAATTGGATGTGGGGCTGCTTGGGGCTGTTGCCGGGTCTTGTGCACTGCCCTCTGCTGTGCAGGCATCGTCTGCTTTGTTGAAGCTCTACGCACCACTCCTGCGTTATGCGGTTTCGCGGTTCTATGTTTTTCAGCTCGTGTGTCAGCAAGCGGTGCTTGTCTCTTCCCTGGAATCTGCTTGGGCCCTGGCTCTTGGATTGTCTTCGCCCTTTTGTCCTTTGCTGTTTGCAGAGTCTGTGGTGGTGCAGTACCTGCAGGTGGCACCTAATTTTCTAAACAGTGAGACAGTTTACAATGATCAGCTGGCTTCACTCTCACAATGGGGGCACTCTTCCAAAATATTTTTCTTGTTTATACAGTGGAACCTTAATTAACGAATTTAATCTGTTCCGGCACCGAGCTTGTCATGTGAAATGCTAGTCTTTCAAAACGAATTCCCCCATTTAAAATATTGGAAATAAAAATAATCCGTTCCACCACCGAAAAACATCAATATGATACATGATTTTGTAAATAATGGAGCAGCCTACCTGACATACAGTATCCACTCAATTTAACGGCCTCTTTTATACTGATGTGCCGGTAATAACAACCGGTTTGGGAGACTGGTATCAGGAGCCTCTTATACCGGTCTGGCGGTCGATATAACTGTAAGTTAGTATTGGGTTTGTTCTGGTATCAGGGGGCCCCTCACATGGCAACAGGCCACCGACCTCGACCTCATCCGACCCTTGAGGGAGGGATGGGAGGCAGTGATTGACGGAGGGAAGCATTGAGGGAGTAGAGGCAGGGAGGGATGAGTAGAGGGAGTAGAGGCAGGGTGGTGGTGGTGGTGAGGGAGGGAGTGTTGGTGGTGGTGGTGAGGGAGGCAGTAAGGGAGATGGAGGGAAGGATAGGACTGCTGACCAAGCGATGGTTGCCAAACCTCTTATCCATACTGTATTAAAAATTTTAATCTTAGCTGTAAAATATTTATGCCAAAATATGTTCATTTTCGTGTATTAATATACATTACCAGGTTGATGGGGTTCTGGGAGTTCTTCTACTCCCCAAGCCCGGCCCGAGCCAGGCTTGACTTGTGAGAGTTTGGTCCACTAGGTTGTTACTTGGAGCGGCCCGCAGGCCCACATACCCACCACAGCCCGGTTGGTCCGGCACTCCTTGGAGGAATAAATCTAGTTTCCTCTTGAAGATGTCCACGGTTGTTCCAGCAATATTTCTTATGCTGCTTGCTGGGAGGACGTTGAACAACCGTTGACCTCTGATGTTTATACAGTGTTCTCTGATTATGCCTATGGCACCTCTGCTCTTCACTGGTTCTATTTTGCATTTTCTTCCATATCGTTCACTCCAGTACGTTGTTATTTTACTGTGTAGATTTGGTACTTGGCCTCCAGTATCTTCCAGGTGTATATTATTTGATATCTCTCTCGTCTTCTTTCTAGTGAGTACATTTGGAGGGCTTTGAGACGATCCCAATAATTTAGGTACTTTATTGCGTCTATGCGTGCCATATATGTTCTCTGTATTCCCTCTATTTCAGCAATCTCTCCTGCTCTGAAGGGGGAAGTGAGTACTGAGCAGTACTCAAGATGGGACAACGCAAGTGACTTGAAGAGTACAACCATTGTGATGGGATCCCTGGATTTCAAAGTTCTCGTAATCCATCCTATCATTTTTCTGGCTGTCGCAATATTTGCTTGGTTATGCTCCTTAAACGTTAGGTTGTCAGACATTATTATTCCCAAATCCTTTACATGCTGTTTTCCTACTATGGGTACATTTGATTGTGTTTTGTACTCTGTATTATGTTTAAGGTCTTCATTTTTACGGTACCTGAGTACCTGGAATTTATCACTGTTAAATATCGTGTTATTTTCTGATGCCCAGTCAAAAACTTTATTAATATCAGCTTGAAGTTTTTCAGTGTCTTCAGCCGAGATAATTTTCATATTGATTTTTGTCATCTGCAAAGGATGATACGAAGCTGTGACTTGTATTTTTGTCTATATCTGATATGAGAATAAGGAAAAGCAGCGGTGCATGGACCGTACCCTGAGGTACAGAGCTTTTAACTGCACTTGGACTAGATTTTATATGGTTT